TAAGATAGATGATAAAGAAAGGATTTGTATGTTTGTACTCAGACAAAGGATATACACGATTAGTATGTTTAAACAATTGGAAGTTTCACACTGATTAAACTCTAACTTTTTGTTAATTAAGAGATGGAGGTATAACTTCATAATATAATAAAATTAAGATGAACCAAGCGACAATTTCATAATAAAACTTGACTTTCAACAGACTTAGAACCATGAGAAGAGAATAGCGGAGATAATGCGTGTATGCTAAGAGAATACTTTTTATTGAGAAGGTATAGAACTTGATGCAATTTAACACTGAAAATCAACTTCCACGAATACATCACCTAAATTTTACAAGAGTTATAATAGAATTTAGTTACAAAGTTGAAGTCATGAGTAAGCTTGCTAATTGAATGAAAGTTGCAATCTAGTTGGGGAACATATAATATTGATAAAAGTTGAATATCTTAGGAGAATTTCACATCTCCTTTCCCAACAATCCTACAGTGAGATCCATCGGTGAGTCTAACAAATTTGAGGTTGAAGTTTTGGTAGTTGATGAGAACATGAATGTCCCTAATCATGTAATCAGAAGCACCTAAATCTAATATCTAGGGTAAAAATCCTCTATTGTTAGCAACTGGGACTACCTCATATTGCATCCAAGTAACGAAGAGCTCAAACGAAAATTATATTGAAATCGACAGCTCGCCATTGAGCGTGATAACGATAAAGCTCACATTAAAAATTAAAATCTAATACTCTGAATCAAATGAAAGCAACAAATTCATTGTTTTGAGTATACAAAAACAAATTCTAATGCGCAAAACCATGCCAACATATCCCAACTCCACATAAAGCTTCACATGGTTGAGGAAGCTGTGACTTCACCCCAAAGAGATGTTCAGGTGGATGATATTTATGGATGACCTTTCCACCAATGCTTGGCTCAACAAGAGGAAAGTCATTGTCTACCCACAAGGTTGCAAAGAGGCTGAAGACTGATCCCATGTGCCCACTAGATATAGTGTGATCATTTTGATTTATATCCCTTCCTTTAATAGCCTGTATGAAGTGATTCAAAGCCTATTTGAAGCTATTGATCCAATGGGGTTGTCCTACATTTACTAATGTGGAATTTACCATAGCTCAAGAGCCTATAGCACTAAGAAGCACGGTTGACCCTAGGACCCCCACGATTAGGTAGCCACCAAACTTGAGACGCTAATTCAAACACATTTCTCTCCTCTACAAGAGCACAGATATATTAATCAACCCTCTAGACTGCCTTACACCCCCACCCCCTTAGTTGCATCAAGGCAAGTGCTAATGGGGGCCTACTTCTATCTCACATTATCTGCATAGGAGCAGTAATTTGCAATGAGCAAGGGAACCTTACCATTGCAATTGAACAATCTTGAGCATTGGGACAACGTTGAAATGGAGCTCAACGCTATTTTGTTTATCAAGAACAGTAATGAGCAATGAATGCTACAGATAAAAGATAACATGATTTTGGGAACAATGTAAATGTAATCAAGTTTATGAGGCAGCGCTTAAGGTATAATATATGGCATAACTGGCCCAAAAAAAGACTCAATTTTACCTTTTCTGTCACACATCAAAAATGGGATCCTTCAACAAGATGGCCCATTTTTGTTCAGAGGTTGCTTTAGAATGTAATTTTGTTTAGAAGCAAGAAAATAATAAGAAATTTCCTTTATTTTTTGCCTTTCTGGGAGATGATAGACAGAACTTCTGTAAACGTATATTATTTTTCTTTTGATATTGCATGCAAGCTACAATTTTCAAGAATCCACAACATAAACACAAATGAACAGCGGACATCTTTTACTTAAATCAAAATAAAATTATGCATGCATCAATATATCTAATCAAACAAATCAATTTCATAAATAACTTCAAAGCTTACTCATGTATATGAGAGAATTTTCACTTCAGATAGATTGCCACAAAATTCACGCAAATTACCTCAAAAAGGGTACAAAGGTCTCTAAAATATGTCCAAACAAATGAATAAAACTCACGACATGCTCCAAACAATGTGCTATATACTTGAACACAATCTAACAATATTATGTGGACAAAAAACAAAATTAAAATAAAATTTAATTTGTCTCAATATGCATGTAATCATTTTGAAACTTTATAAACACACATGCATGTTAAATGGGCCGCTCTTATAAAAAATAGTCATAAGCCCATAATTAGAATCGACAAGACTTTAACCCATTGAATGTTATCCAAATAGTTAATTTTCATAGGAATTATGATGAAATTCTAATTTTAAGTTATACTTATAATATTATCCATATAAAGCAATCCATAATAACAGAACTGATAATCTACAAATGGAGCTAGAGCTAACGAGTTTTTTTAACATAAAATATGTCTAAACTAGCTCGATTGATGAAAAATACAGACTTGAACCTCTGCATGCAGACATTCAAAGTTAGCAAGGTCTAGAAGAACTAACAATAATCAACCAAAGCATATTAATGATGGTCATAAAGTAAATCTTAAAATAAAAAAACTTATTTTAAAAATTTCAAAAATCTCAAATTGCAAATATAAGGATTTAAAGCATCATACTCGGTGATGGTCATGTGAATAGAAAATTTTAACCGGATGGGTCCATCTCAAATAAAAAAAGGACTCATTGCAAATATAGGCCCTTCAAATTTTACCTCAATAATAGTCGTATTGACTAAAAAGCATAATGGAAGTGGACTATTTTCAAAAACTCATTAAATCCCATTGAAATTATATTGAGCTTCAATTTAGATAAATAACAAAGGATATCAAAAAAACTATATTTTTAAAAATAATAGAGAGAAAACGCAATCCATAATGCTCAAAACTTATGATTAACCTAAGCTCGCAATGAGTAAATATTATATCAAGTTTAATTCTATAGTCATTCTCAAAAAAAAAAATTGAGCTAGTAAGGATATAACCCGTGTCTTCTACCAGCATGATTTTGTTGCCAATGGCTATGACTATAGCCCTTTGATCTAATGATTTATCGCAAAATAAAACTATTACATTATAGTTATGATTGGCTCATATGTTCCGCAATGATCATATTCCTTGAGTTAAAAATCATTAAAAACAATTAGTAGGGCACAATATCATAGATTAGCTAACAGATATTTATATTTGTTTCCTTTAATAGATATCCACCCTACGTCTACGATGCAACCAATGGTTGATAATAAGAGACATTCTATTAGATTTCATTAATTATCTTCTTTGACCGAGTAAACTAAGATTCATAATCACCTAGGATGACAACACTATGAGTATATAACTCGGTTTGTTATCATTCTCATATAATTCTTTATAAGCTTACGGTGTTAAATCTTTTCTATTAAAAAATAAAATATTGCCACTATATGCTATGTAATAGCACCTTAACGACTAATCTCAATCAAAAGTTCTCCACATTATTGGAAGAAGTAATTAATTGTTGGACTAGATTTTAAAGTATTCAAAAATTAAGGGAAAATCTCTAATCATCTAAAATAAAAAATGTCTTCTAAACATTCGACCATAAATAACACAAAAAACCTCTTGTGAGAGTGGCCGGGGTGCAAATTTTCAAAGCTCCTATGTCATTTTTTTAAAAGTAAAATCACAAAAAAAAGGAAAATTTATGAAGTAAAGACATACTCATTGCAAAACAATTGCTTCTAATGAACATTTTAAGAATGATCTAAAATCAGACATGAATCATTCTCATGATCCTTACAATTATGATTTCACTAAAAATCAATTTAGCAAATCATCATCTTATATGTTACAAATGATTTCCATGTTACTGTGTTTCCACATCTTCCAAGAAGCATTTCTCACCTTGCATATTCCTATAGGATCCATATTTCCCTAATCAACGAGGAGATTGCTATGTTCCTAAAACAATTTCTTGCCCTGAAACAAACAAATCTTTCATAGATATAATTATAACATTGCTCATTCCAAAATCAAGGTTTTGTTTCTTGCAAGTGTATTAATGAGATGTAATAAAACAAAAAATCAACCTCATTAGCCTTATCATAACCCCTATTTTTCACAAATTAATTTGAATGCATTCTATCTATTTTACATAAAGTTTAATCTCCACGCAAATTTCATGACATTAATTTATCTGCTGATTAGATGGGTACATTTTTACGCATTGTATTCCTGTTGTAACTCCCAAAACTCATGCCGGTTTAAGAAATCATACAAATTCTAAACATGCTACCTCTATTATATTCATTCTTCTTCTTAGTCTTCCCTTATTGATTCTATCTACCTTGTTAGCAATGTCTCTTCCATTTTGTATTACACGTTTGATCAATGAAAGTTTTTTCCATTACCCTATTTTCAGCAAGTATTACGATTAATCACACTTTAGATTTCCTAATTAACCACACATCATCTAAATATTCTCATTTCTATCTAACTTCTTAGAAATGATATTGTTCTGGCCCAATAATTAAATCTATTGAACATTACGTCCAACAATTTTATAGAAGTTACCTTGATAATGATCATATATAGTCACAGAGTACTTTAAAAGGACTTATTCATGAAAATCACTATCTATATGACTTTATTTCTACATAGTACATCCAAAATACTCAAATCTATCGCCTAGTTTCATATAATTCCCCTCTTCGCTCCTTTAGGAAATAATAAACATTACTATCTTGAAATGTGTTCCCACGTTAAATCAACTTACATGCTCATAGCATCATTTACAATAATTTCACTATAGTAGTAAAAAATTGGCATGTAATCAAATTTGTAAGGAATGTCATCTGCATATAAAATACCAGTTTGAAAAAAGAATAATAATGACCAAATAAGAGAATTTATTATTCCCTACACAGAAAGGAAGTATCAAACAGTCAATGCTAGTTGGGTTTTTACAAATAATCAAGTACTTTCATATTGCAATAAATTTTAGAATTAAGATCTTAATGTTCCTATTTTTTGTCGTGAAAAAATACCTCTCCAGAGGAGAACTTCTCGACAATGGCATGCATCTTACTCCGTGACATGTTCCTTAATCCAGAATGGAAGCCAACAAGGAAATCACATTTCCAAAATTTTAGAGACTTCAAGCTTTTAAGAATACATGCAAGTGCTCTTGCAACAATAATTCTTTTCACAAATACTATGCATTTAGTGTTCTCTTTTAACAGTGAAAGCTGAAAAATAGAGAAGCAAAATAAATATATACAGAAAATTCAATTTTTCAAGAATTGGGCATTTTCACAAATAAAAATAGTAATCTTTGTGATATATTTTACATCCATAAGATATAACTTCAATAACTCCACATTTCCTCTATTCTGCTTTCTATTTTGGAGCATAAATGCCTTCTTTTAAACAATCACTACTGCGAGATTCAGAAGCATGCCAACCACAATGAAAAAAAAAAAAGTTGACTGATTGGTTGGCAGCAAAACTAGCTGCTTTCAGCGTTCGTCATTCATTCTAGTTTCACATATGTAAAGAATTATTTGCATTCATCATGGTACAAGTTGGACAATTCCTGTAGTTAGCTATCATTTACATAGTCATTAAGGTTACCCCAACAATCTGGCTAGTTTCATCAATCCTGACCATTCAATCTGTTAACAAGGCTTTTCCCAAACTTAAAATAATAATAGTAATAGTATGAATATGGCTTGACAAATAATCATCCCTAATTCCCTCCCTACCTTCAACGCTATCATTTATTTTCTAATACAGCCGTAATTTCATATTTTTGGGTATTAAAAAGTATGACAAGTCCAAAGATCAGGAGGAAAAAATTCAATGCTTCAGTTTGAAAACAAAAGTCATCACAGAATAATTTGAATTAGAGGTACAGGCATAAATGTTCAACATAAACCATATTTACCTTGTAAGATGTAAACATGTTTAAAAAGAACAACTATTAATTTAACAACGAAAATAGAAAAATAAAATCATGAAGAAAGAACTCTTAAATATTTTTGTTATTTCTCTACTTTCTTCGTAAAGGAGAGTAAGTATATATACAATTCCAAAAGGCATTATAAAATAGGAATAAATAAAATGCAAGATGGGAAAATTAAGAAGGGGCCAACAATCTTATTGGTAAGCGGACAAATTGAAAGTCGAGGGTCAAAGAAGAATTGATCCAATAGTATAAGGCCTTGATACATGTGGCTTAAATTATTTGCAATGATTGAAAAGAGAGTAGGCCCCAGTGTAACATGCAATACTATAGTGTGGTTTTATAGCAGGTTATATAGGGTAGTACTGTCAGAAAAATTAGACACGACCTTAAACTGAATGGTAGAGATATATTATCCCAAATTTACGTATAATACATTCAAATATTGTTTTGTAAAGTCTTAAAGTGAAGATATCTGCTAGTTGATTCCATATATGCAAATATGAAGTCAAATCAAGCCACTTTCCCATTATCTTTTATGAAGTGACTATCAATCTCGGCATGCATAGTACGATCATGGTGTATTGAAGTATGTGCACTACTATTAGGCGATTTTTTATCACAATATAATTTTATAAACACGTGTAATTTGATTTTTAAATCATCTGAAATGATTTTGAGCAATAGAAGCACACTTCCTTAAACAAGAGTATTGAAGTCAGTTTCAGTACTTGATAATGAAACTAAACGTGGAGTCTTGGTTCTTTAAGTTACGAGATTTTCTCCTAAGGATATACAATAATTTGAGGTAACTCTTCAATCCAACGATCATCCAACAAAGTCTGCATCTATGTATCGTTCAATATATAGAGTATCATGCATTTTATGTATAATTCATTTCCTTGAGCTTAATTTAAGATATCTAAGATTTCCGTGCCTTATGAATCTTAGGAGTTGTGCATGAACTAACTGATAAAACTTACAGTGAAAGCAATGTGTCAATAGGCTCACTAAAGATCTGTTAGGGGCAGCTGCAGCTGTCTGAAGAAGTAGTTGTAAAGTTGTTTTTCAAAAAGCGCACACACACACACACACACACACACACACACACACAGAGACACACACACACACAAATGTTTTCGTTTTCGATTACACGGCTCTGCTAGGGTTTGCGATTCAATGGCGATGCGGGTAATCGTCTCTCCCTGGCTCGTTCTTACGCCGGCAAGACCGTCGGCGGCGTTCCAAACTTCCCTTATACCTTTCACGATTCACTCGCGCTCGGTGATGAGTCTTCTTTCATTCGACGACCGGGCCAGAAAGAGGGTAAGCTAGCTCTCTTCCTCTCCGACGCCGAAAACGTCGATCTCGCCTCTTCTTGCCGCCTCTATCTCATAGGAAAATTTTTGTATGGGCATCCCAAAATGGAATTCCTTCGGAAACATTTCGAAATGATGAAGCTTTCTGGAGGTTGGAAGATAGGACCCTTGGATGGAAGGCATATTTTAATTCGCATATTTTAATTCAGTTGTCCATTTTAATTCAGTTGTCCAATGAGGCGGACTATACGCGTCTGTTTGCTAAGTGGTTAGTGTGGTTTCAGGATTGTGCTATGAAAATCTTGAAATGGTCAGCCAACTTTGATTCCAAAGCAAAGGCTCCGATTATCCTTGTTTAGCTTCGGTTTCCAGGTTTGAAAGTCCATTTTGTTAACCATGAAATTCTGTTCTCCTTGGCAGCTATGTTCGGGAGACCCCTTAAACTTGATGCTCCCACTTATAATCTCTCGAGACCGTCTATGGCTAGGGTTTTAATTGAAAGGGATGTCACCTTACCTCTACCTGATGAGGTTTGGATTAGTTCGGCTCACAATGGTTACTGACAATAGGTTTTATTAGAACAACATCCCTCTTACTGTACTCATTGTCGCATGTTTGGCCACGATCCGGATCAATGTTTTCATTTACATCCTGAATTGAGGAAAGGGGGAAGTATGAAACAACCACATATTGAGCAGGCGCCTCTGCCTCTTGTGGAAAATAATCTGAATGCTTTGGCAGCTGGTACTGCCGAGACCTCTCAACCACCTGTACACCCTATTTTGGTTCAGCACGAGGGACAGCCCCATCAACCTGCCTCCCCTATTGAGCGAGCTGAGCAGGTGTTGCATGTTGTGTTTCCTCCTGTTATTTCTAATACTGAGGGGGCTCGAATTTCTTCGGCCTCTCTCCCTGTTGCTATGAATACTGATAATAATTCTCTATATTCACATCACTCTAATGTTCTTTCTGAAACTTCTTTGGAAGGAAAAATATTACATCAGGACTCCTAACGTAGAGCTACGTTCGGATTGGAATATCCAGCGATGTTACGAGAATATTTCATCTGTAGTATTTATAAAAATGATGTGTTATTTGAGTATTATATGAAGTTATTCAATTATTTTGCGATTTTATTGGAGTTTTCCATCGCGTTACTTGATTTGGGGCAGATCTAGACATGGCTACGCCGGCTTGATTTTTTTCAAAGTCCTTGTTTTACTCCGATTTGTGTGCTAATCCTCCGGTAACATGCAAAATACAAATCCAACCTTCCAAAAACAAAAAATCATGAATTTAAATGAAGATTTTTTAGAATTAAAGCATATAAAAATGCAAAAAAAATGACACATATCAATACTCAATATTAATTTCACTAACTGCTTTTCATCCCGAAATAGACGAATAGTCAAAGCACACCATTCAAACATTAAAAGATTTCTTGAGAACTTTTATTTTAAACTTGAGAGGCAAATGGGAAGATTATTTCGCTAGTGAAGTTTGCTTATAATAACAGTTTTCATACAAGCATCAGCATGACACGGTATGAGTCCTTATGACAGCAATTGCAGACCCCCATTATGTTGATTTGAGATTGGTGTAAGATAAATTTTCAAACATCAGTTAGTTGATCAAGCCACCAAAATAATTCGTCAAATTCGAGATCGACTACGAGCGGCTTAGGATCGCAGAAGAAATATTATGATTGCAAGAACAAAAAAATTGAATTCAAAGTTGAAGATCATATTTTTTTTAAAGTTTCACAAATGCATGAAGTTACAGGATTTGATAGAGTAGAAAGTTTAACCTTGCTTCGTTGGTTCTTTTGAAGTGATCGACAGAGTGTGCAAAGTTTCATACTCTTTGGCTTTTCCTCCAATGCTTACAAGAATACACAATATTTTTCACGCCTCTCTACTTTGATGCTACAAGCATGACAACTCACATCATCCAATATGACTGGTTGATGATTTGAGAGTACATGAGTTATGAAGAAGTACTAGAATGCATATTCAAGCATGAAGTTCGACAACTTCATTGCTGATATATTTCTTTGGTCAATATACTTTGAAAGAATTAGTCAGAGCGAGAAGTAACCTGAGAGGTTGAAGAAGAGATGAGCGTGAAATACTAATAGCTACTCTACAGTTAAGGTATGAATTTGGGTTCAAATTCTTTTAAGAGTGATAGGACGTAAGAACCAAAACTTCCCTTTGTTTCCTCTAATGAACTCCAATGCATCACCTTCCAAATTGCAAGAATTTCATGGATTCCCATTTCCATTTTATTCTTCCCACGATTGCCTACATTGTGTCGCCCTTCTTGATCGTATCGTTCACATAAGTTCCCATGCTTTACATTGTCACCTTTCCGATCAAGCTTGTTGTGTTTCATTTCTGGCACTTTCCCGTGTAGGCTTAAGCTATCACCTCGTTGCTCTATTTAAGTGTGAGTAAAGGCCAAGGCATCGTAGAGAGTTCCCATTACAAAAACCTTAGATACACTGTAGTTTTCTTTCTCTCCCCACTCTCCTTCTCTCAAAGCCCTAGCAACAGCTGCCCTTTTCTTCTCCTTACCTCATAGCAACTACCAAGCCCTTCCCGTACCTCCATTGCTTTAGTTTTCCATTGCCCTCCTCGATTTTCTTTCTCGCTCGATCGAGAGGTTCCCCTTTTTACTAAAGCATTAGTTCATTCTTTTAAATTATTATTCGAGTAAGATAAATTTACTTTTATGTGTTTATATTATTATTATTATTTATTTATTTATTTATTTATTTATTTGGTTTGCAAGGCACTTAGCGCAATCTAGTGGATCTCAGATAGAGTGGGTTTTAAACTGCTCCACACATGTAAATAATTATTATTTATTAGGAGATAAATATATTCTTTGTTGTTAGTGTATTATCATTGTCAATTATATTAGATTTCTCGTTATTTAATAGGTTTATCAGGTATACAATTGCAATTCAATTATCTATCAAGTATAATTGTCAGAAGATTTAATTATATATTCATATCGAATTTCATTAATAATTAGACATAACTTATGGTTGTGAAAATTCATAATTATTTATTGGTTCCTTGTATTTCCATTATTTATTATTCAAGTAGAAGTTCTGTGACAAATTCAATTATTGCAATACATATCCAAGCATAATTACAACTGGATAGTGCAAGGTGGTGTTGCGTGAAACATGCATGATATTATAACATTTTTATACCAATTATAATCATTTTGTTATGGCAAGTCAGACAAAAGGATTTATTACCTATAACAATAGGTTTATTACCATAGTACAATACCATAATCGAAGAAATTAATGGTATATATAGAATATCATCGCATTCTATTGGTCATACTGCATAACACGGTTTCTTACTGTTTATGCTCTAATAATAATAGATATTTATTTGTCAAATCCACTTGATATTTTGGATAGCAGATACTCAAAAGACTGTCTTCATAGGGGCCTACATTCCAACTAAAGATTTTCTTTTTGGTATTATTAGTATTTACATTACTTATTATATTTCTCATTTGGGTCTGAATAGTTATCCAAAACTACTTCAGTTTCTTATCAATTATTTTCTTATTTTCCTTCAGTTGTATCAGTCGTTAAATTCTTATTTATGAAATGAAATAAAATTTATCTTTCCTTGCTTATTTTAGCTAATGTTTGTATACAATTTTTTCCTATTGCGAATACAAAACTTGTTCAATTTATTTCATCAAGCTCTATGTTGTTAAGGTGTACTATCTTTCGGGCCCAGGGTGTGACAATTGCAATGGATTAACCAGTATTGTTTGAGAACTCAATGTAAGTGGCTCCAAGAGAATAGGGAATTCAGAAAGAAAAATAAAGGGTAACAAAAGTAAACGAGCATAACTACGAACATGAGATAAAATGCAAGTCTACCATAAACGAAAGAGAAGAAAAGGGATGACGAAACCAAGGCACGTTGAGAAGTAGGTCATAAAATAATAAAAATTTATTGATGCACAGGTTTAGGCTGCTTAGTTTTATCATATGATCTAATATGGGAAGAATAAGAGAGAAGGATAGAGACCTGAAAGGGAGTTGGCCTTATATAGGTCATTCAATCACTCAATGATCCCAATCTAGTTCTACATGCCTTTTTACAATAAAAGGACCAATTGGTTAAAAATAAAAAAAGAAATATAAAAATAAAGAAAAAAACATAAACTGAAATGAAAAGAAAGAAGATGGGAAAAAAACGTTTAACTAAAAAGAAATCAAAACATTTCGAGAAAAAAAATTCCAAATATCTTACATAAACTTGGATTAGACGGCCATCATCAAAGTGTATTGACTTATGGGGCTAAAGAACATTTCTCAAATTGAATATCAAAAAAAATTTAAAAAAAAGGTACCTGTATGTCGAAAGGATGCTGATTAGTAGTGATAATTTTTGTGAAAAAAGTGGTTCTTCAAATACGTCCAAAAAAGGAAAATCTGAAGTAGATACATCTGAAAAATTAAGTGGTTCATCAGAAACAAATATATTCCAGGTATTGAAATTGACTTGTAATAAAAATTTAAAATGTCAAAAAGAGTGCTGCAGCTAATGATTCACATAGCCAGCCTGAATTAGTTAGAAAAAAAACGATGGTGGCGGTAGTGGAGGCTGAGGCGGAGGCGGCGGCGACGGAGGCGGCGGCGACGGAGGCAAGATAAAAAACATTACAGGGTAAATTTACAAACAGAAAATTAACGGAGTCCAATATTTGATGTTTATAAATGAAAATATTCTTGAATAGAATTATCAAAATGTAGATCCAGCCGTTATCACTTTGGATAGATCAAAGAAATTATTCAAACTTATTAGGTTCAATTTTCGAAAAGTGGAGCATATTCCAAACTTGTAAATTAAATTGAAAAAGAACCGAGTAAAATTCAGTATAGTTTACATCTTTTTATAATATTTCATTAGAGCATACACGGTCCAGCCTTAGTTCAATCATTTGATGGATTTAATCGTTGTCCTAATTTAAAATCAGAAAACAATAATAATGGCAGGTACTCAAGGAAAGTGCCACACTCTCCCCTTCCCTACCCCAAGTAATTATTGGGACAAAAGCTATTAAACTAAGCTCACAAGATAAGTATAGCAATAATATCTAATTACGTATCCTTGGATGTTGTTTGAGTATAGGGGATTGTATTTTTCTATACTGAAATGTAATTAAGAACATATCACCAGTGGGATTAGAAATTGGTAAGTTTTATTTTACATGAATGTCGATGGCCTAAAAACTAATCACGTAGTTTATTGAATGGAATGCATGGACATTTTTTACGGATCCTGCACACATAAACAAGAGAAAAAATATCATTACCCTTGCCATGATCTCAATGTTTCATCCCTATTACAAGACACATTATTAGACTTACCACATAATTCTACGCATAATCATGTGCATTGCAGTATGCAAGTACAGCTTAATGAACAAAACGTGGAAAGAAATATTAGGCCATGTCAGCACTTATTTTAATAGTTTTTGCAGAGCTAATTACATAACATGCAACAAAGTTATCATGATTAGAGAACTTTCCACAGCCTCCAGGAAGAGCGAACAAAATAAAACAATAAAGCAATAATAACATAGATTATCCAAAACAGCGGGAATTCATTCCAGCAAACAAAAATATATAATGAATGAAACAAGAAGGATACCATCACATATGCTGAAATCCAAAATCGATGCAGCCTTTTCCAAAAATTGATATGTAGGGTTGTCATGATTGCCACTTTCCTCTTTCTTGCCTGGAGGAAGCTGAAATTCCTCAAAATTGAAAAGAATTTTCAAAGCCTATAATAACAAGCGATGAAATTAGTTCATTTCAAAAAAGATCATGGTAAACAAGTTACAGTTTTACCCATTTTCTTAGAGACGAAGCTCCAGATTACCAACACAAGGTTTCTTAAAAGAATCTAATAAAAAACATAAAAAATAAAATAATTCAAGAAACGACAGAATTCAGGTTTATAGCCATGTTTCCCATGGAAATAAGCACGCTGAGCATCTGAGTCACAATTAATTGGTATCTAAAACCAAATTTGGCTTGTTAAAAGAAGATGGCAAAAAAAAATTCATCTGAGTTACTCCTAATTCCTTGTTCACGAAATTTAGAATAAGTAGAAAAAAAAAGAGATAATATGACTGAATTTGATTCTACTTATTTTGGGTCAAGAAGAGAGAAAGTATTTGAGCATAAATAGATGAGGAAATAACTACCTATGAAATAAACAAATCCACAAATCAACCTTTAATTCTGAAATTCAAAATTACCAAAAAAAAACGAAAATGAAAAGTTATTGTACATGCATTGCTGATATAATGTATCAAAAAAGTATGTCTATGAATTGTTGGATAAATGCAGATGAAAACTACACTATCCAAAAATTGCTAGCTTGTACATATAAAGGTGCTAGCAACTTTTTTCACTGCCTCTTTCTATTGGATTGTATATGTTGATTATGGTCAACCTATTAATTAGAATATAAAAAAGCATTCTAAGAAGCCTTGGTCAGGATAGCTTTAGTTTGAGAGTTTGTTGGAATATATTTTAATTGGGCAAGTTCATTTTCACTTTATTTCTATGATGAAAATGATCCCGTCTCAATGTGTTTTATCTCATAATGGTGGACAGAATTTTTCCAATATTTATGGTAGACAGACCCCACTTAGTGGGATAAAAGCTTGTATTTGAATGATAGCCTAGCGGTAATAGTACAGTTTGGGACATTTTCACACTGGATAATTTAGTCCTAATATTCTTTTTAAATATCCAGTATAACTATCATGAATTAAACTTCAACACTACAATGTGGGATTACATGTCACACCTCATTTATCGAGGAAACATTATTTTATTTTAAACGAGCAATTTAAAATGGCAGTGGAAGCTCTGAGAGGGTTTGAGTAACTTTGGGTTACTGTTCCATTGGTTTGGCGTTTTCCAGGTTTACTGTTCCATTAGATTGGCCGTAGATTAGCTATGGAACGTCCTTCGTTTGCAGATATAGTTGCATAAAACAGCTCTACATAAGTATTTGATAGCGCTTCTTTGTTTTTCCACAAACATTCCATGATAGTTTGGAGGGAAGGGGTGCTTGTGGTTTTGTTCTAAGAGTTGGCTGCAACAATGATAGACCTGCTTTATTCCTTACTGATGTCAATAACTCCAAGATCTCCGAACCTTAGAACTTTACTCTGGTTGGGAAGTCTCAATTTGGTCGCAAAGGAGGAATATATTAAGAAATTTTTTTACGGTTTGAAGCTTTTGGGTAAATGGAAGGTGCGCTTGTTTGATGGTCGACACATCATGAGATACTTGAGCGGAGAAGAATATTATGCAAGGAGTTTTTCCAGGAAGTTCATTAACATTGAAAACACATGTATGAAACTGCTCAAATGGTCACTTGAATTTGATCCCCACCCATTGTCCTCATTTGGTTTAAGTTTCCTGGGCTAAAATTATATATGTTTAATCAGCAAGAACTATTTCCTTTAGGAGCAATGTTTGGCAGAACAATGAAACTTCACATCTCTACCATTAATCTATCAAGATGACCGGCTGCAAGGGTCCTATTGATGAGGGATATTACTCAACCTATAGTGTATGAGGTGTGGATTGGGTCTGCACATAATGAGTACTAGCAACAGGTAGTGGTGGACCATAAACCTTATTATTATAGCAAATGTAACGTTTAGTCATCAAACGAAAAATTTCTACATAGCTCATCTTGAGCTGAGAAGACCTCAACCAAAAAGATTTGAAGTAGAAGGCAACAAGGAGACCTTAATCAAGATGCAAATGTTTTTGAACCAATTGTTAATGAAGAGCAAATCCAACATTAGGAACAACACTTGAAAGAAGTCCCAAGAAAAAAGAAATACCAAACAAACTCAAGTTCTGGAGGCTGAGCAAAATTTCATAACGAAGTGGAAGAGGGTGGGAAGGGGAGCAAAACATGATGGCTTGCATTATGGATATTGTGACATGAATTTTTTGAGTTGAAGTCATCCCTAACACTCCTAAAAAGGCCCTCAACAATCAACCAAACCATAAGTCACTGGAGTACCCGGTTACTATTATTATGGAGGCAGATCACAAATTGCAGCTATACACTCAGGAGGGAATTGAAGTGGAACAAGGAAACTTAAATGATGCCAGAACATATAATAAAGAGGAATAGATGATTCAGAAATCCAGAAGAAAGAAAAAAAGGTAATCAAGAGCAGAGGCATCTGAACCTAAGCAAATACTGACACAGGAAGGCATACCAAAAATTAATCAACTTGAGCAAGTAAGACATTTTACATTTCCTAGACTAACTAGAAGAGGTAAGCCCACTCATAATGATTAACATATTAATATGGAATCTCAGAGGGAATAACTAATCCATTTTCTCTTAATAGACTAAAATTTCAATAAGGATATACAAAATTGTGTTTTGCAATTTTGGAGCCTATGGTTACCAAGAACATAAACCAGATTTTTAGGAAGCTAGGGAGATTTAACCATATGGCCAATGACAGTAACGAAATCTGGTTCATATGAAGAAAGGAGCTGCAAGTTCAAATTTTCTTGAGAACCCACAATTTCTAATGTTGCGTCAAAATTGGATGACTTTGAAGGTCAGACCACATTTGGACATGTTAATGTACCAGAGTAGCCAGGGATGATCTTTGGAGCTAGCACTAGAGTACCCAGTTATTATTATTATGGCAGATCACAAATTGCAACTATACACTCAGGAGGGATTTGAAGTAGAAGAAGAAAACTTAAATGATGCCAAAATATATATAAAAGAGGAATGGATGATTCAGAAGTCCAAAAGGGATAAAAAAGGTAATCAAGTGTAGAACAATTTGAACTCAAGCAAAATTCTGACATAGGAAGGCATACTAAATATTTAATCAACCTGAGCAAGTAGGACGTTTTACCCTCCCTAGACTAATTAGAGAAGGTAAGCCCGCTCAAATTGATTAAGCTGTTAATAAGGAATATCAAGGGAATAGCTTATCATTCCCTTGATAAACTTAAGAATTTAATAAGGATCCACAAAATTGTGTTTTGCAATTTGAAGCCAATGATTACCAAGAACATAAGGCAGATTGTTAGGAAGCTAGAGAGATTTAACCATATAGCAATGGCAGCAACAAAATCTAGTTCTTATGGAGAAAGGAGCTGCAAGTTCAAATTTTGCACAAGGACCCACAATTTCTACATGTTGCATCAAAATTGGATGACATGAAGGTGAGGCCACTTTTGTATATGTTGGATGTACCGGAGCAGCCAGACATTATCTCAGGAGTAATTGATGATTTTTGGTAACAATACTGATGTTGGAGTGTTAGTGGAGACTTTAACATGATTGCAAACCAGAAAGAAAAACAAGTTGGAAGAAGAGCTAACCCTAAGCTTATAACCCATTTCAACGATGCAAATGAATATGTTGGTTTACTTGATCTAGGATTTATTGGTCCCTCATTCACCTGGAAAAGGGGAAGGGTATTTCAATGATTGCATAGAGTGTTAACTAATCAGGAATGGTTATCCAAATTTCAATTTTCTAACGTCCAACAGTAATCTAAAACTGGATCTGATCAAAGTCCTTTGTTGCTTACCATTTCCTTATTGCATAAAGAAAGTCAAACTCCTTTCAGATACTTCCGCACATGGTCCAATCATTCTAATTTTCTGAGCTGTGTCAAAAGAACACGGAATACTAAGGCTGTTCGCAATGCTTGGTACATCCTTTTGAATTTGCATAAAAATGTCGTTAAGACACTCACAGTGCGGAATTAGGAAATATTTGGGGAACTTAACCTTGAGGTGAAAAAGGCTGAAGAAAGTTTTGCTGGTTTGAGGACAAAGCTAGGAGAAGGAGGAGGCCAGTGAGCTTCTTCTTGAGGCTCAGAATGAACTGATACGAGTCATCAAATGGGAGGAGGCTTTTTTAAAACAAAAGGCTGTTGTTGCACACCTCAATGATGTAGACAAGCACTTACAATATTTCCAATCTTGCATTAAACATAGGAGAAGAATGAATTCTATTTAGACAATTAAAGATGATGATGGCAGTTGGCTTTATGAGCAGGATGCCATAGTAGCTAGTAGTATTAACTACTTCCAACAGTTGTTTACACAAGCTGTTGCTTATCAGATCAATCTTAATGCTGGAACATTTGAAGAATGTAGCGGACCAACTAAAAATCTTATTCTTACAGGCATTCCAATTGAGACTGAAATATGGGATGCTGCTCACACCGCTGACAGTAACAAAATTGTTGGTCCCGATGGTTTCACAGCTGACTTTTACAAGAGATGTTAGAGCATTGTTAAACCTGAAGTTACTCTTACAATTCAAAGTTTACTTAAAGGGGGAGGAGCCTCTGAAGCATTTTACCACATCAACCGTCACACTTAACCCAAAGACTACTGACAAACTTAACCCAATTTATTTTACCAAATCAACCGTCACACTTAACCCAAAGACTACTGACAAGGATGAATGGGAGCAATTTTGACTCATCAATCTCACAATAGTGATCTCCAAGGTGACTAGTTAGATAATAGTTACCAGATTGTAGTCACATTTCCTTCCTTGATTTCTCATAACCAAGCAACATTTACTAAAGGATGAAGCATTATTGATAATATCTTATTACCTCAAAACTGATCATTGATTTGGACAAAAAATGCAAAGGTGAAAATCTAATTAGTAAGCTAGATTTGAGGAAGACTTGTGACAACATTTGTAAGAATTTCATTTTGGCAATTTTGAAAGCCAATCAACTTC